TGACTCTGGTGCTGCTGAGGGTGCTGAGCCTGGGGGTGCTGACTCTGGGGGTGCTGAGCGTGTGGGTGCTACGCCTGGGGGTGCTGAGCCTGAGGGTGCTACTACTGGGGGTGCTGAGCCTGGGGGTGCTGAGCCTGGGAGTGCTACGCCTGGGGGTGCTACGCCTGGAGGTGCTGAGCCTGGGGGTGCGGAGCCTGAGGGAGCTGGGCCTGCTCGTGTGGCGTCTGGCGGTGCTGAGCCTGGAGGTTCTCCGGGTGCTTCGTCTCGACGGGAGGCACTCTCTCCACAGGAGCTGCGCGAGTGGTTTGCCCGGCGCTGGAGGCGTGCTGCTGGAGCTGGAGGTTCTTCGGCTGCTGAGGGTGCTGGTGCCGCGGGTCCCGGAGGTGCTCGTACTGGGAGTACTGGAGCTGCTGGGCCTGCGGGTACGACTGGAGCTGGAGCTGCTGAGGGTGTTGGCGCTGAGGCTACTGCTGTCGGTCCTGGAGGCGGTCCTGCTGGGGGTGCTGGAGCTGGAGGTACTGCTGGCGCTGGTGCTGCCGCTGGGGGTACTGGTGCTGTCCCTGCTGTGTCTGGAGTCGCCACACGGCCTAGGCCGTACTTCGTTCCGCTCCTTCAGCAGGTTCTTGGTCTCCCGCCTTCTCCTGGTCCTCCTCCTCCCTTAGAGTGTCCACAGCCTGTCCCGTCACAGTTACAGTTACAGCCGGCCTCCCCACTGCCCGCTCCTTCTCCCTACACTGGTCCTACTGGAGGTCTTGCTGAGCGTCGTGAGCCTGCGTCTCGCCCTGCGTCGCCTGTCCGTGCTTCTCGCACTAGTGGTCGTGGTTCGCGTCAGCGTCCTCCTCCTGTCCCTGGCACGCACCGGATGTCTCTGCGTCCGTCCACTGCTCCTCTGCGTGCCCCTTTGCCTTCTCCTCCTGAGTCCTCTCTTCCTGCTCTTCCTGACCCGGAGTCGGACTCTCTTCGTGCTGCCAGTCCTACTGTCACGCGTCTCCTTGCTACTGTTGTCACTGACCCTTCCTTTGAGTCCACTGCTGCGTCTGCCCTAGTTACTGAGCTCGTCGACTTTGCTGCTCGCTGTCGTCTAGACTACGCTGCTAGACTTGTTGCTGAGTCTGAGTCTGTCTGTCCTCCGTCCGTCGGGGGTGAGTGTGCCCTTGGCACGGACGTCCTTGAGGACAGGCAGGAGGAGTTCCAGTGTTTGGCTGCTGCTTCACCTCATCTCGTGTCCGTACTGCTTACCCCTGAGGGAGACCCGGATGCACTTGACATCCCGACTCCGCGCTCTTACGCGGAGGCGATAGAGGGTCCCTACTCCTCTCAGTGGCAGGCAGCTATGGACGCAGAGATGGCTTCCTGGAAGTCCACAGGCACCTACGTTGACGAGGTTCCCCCGCCTGGGGCAAACATCGTCAGTGGCATGTGGATTTTCAGGGTGAAGCGGCCGCCGGGTTCTCCGCCTGTCTTCAAGGCGCGTTACGTGGCTCGTGGCTTCAGTCAGCGGCAGGGAGTTGACTACTTTCAGACCTTCTCTCCCACCCCGAAGATGACCACTCTTCGGGTACTGCTGCACATAGCTGCTCACCGCGACTACGAGCTGCACTCTCTTGACTTCAGCACTGCTTTCTTGCAGGGCAGCCTGCACGAGGAGATCTGGCTGCGTCGCCCACCTGGCTTCACTGGGTCTTTTCCTCCTGGCACCCAGTGGAGCCTCCGGCGGCCAGTCTACGGTCTCCGCCAGGCACCGCGTGAGTGGCACGACACACTGAGGACTACACTTGCGGCTCTTGGGTTTGCTCCCTCTACTGCCGACCCGTCGCTGTTTCTGCGCACCGACACTTCTTTGCAGCCGTTCTACATCCTCGTGTACGTCGACGACTTGGTCTTTGCCACAGCTGACACTGCTGGACTCGCCCACGTGAAGTCCGAGCTGCAGAAGAGACACACGTGCACAGACCTGGGTGAACTGCGCAGCTACCTTGGCTTGCAGATCACCCGGGACAGAGCACGCCGCACCATTACCCTGACTCAGTCACACATGGTGCAGCAGGTCCTTCAGCGCTTCGGCTTCACGTACTCCTCGCCTCAGGCCACTCCTCTGCCTACTCGCCACTCGCTCTCAGCTCTGCCTTCGGATGAGTCCGTAGAGTCGAGTGGCCCGTACCCAGAGCTTGTTGGCTGCCTCATGTACCTGATGACCTGCACACGACCTGACCTTGCATACTCTCTTAGCATTCTTGCACGCTATGTTGCTTCTGGGAGACACAGACCGGAGCACATGGCTGCAGCGAAGAGGGTGTTGCGCTACTTGTGCAGTACATCGGGCATGGGGCTTGTGCTTGGAGGGCAAAGTCCAGTGGTCCTCACTGGACACGCAGACGCTTCTTGGGCTGACGACCAGGCTACGCAGCGGTCGTCACAGGGTTACACCTTCAGCCTTGGTTCCGGCTCTGTTTCGTGGCGGGCTACTCGCTCGTCTTCTGTTCTCGGCTCCAGTTGCGAGGCTGAGATCTACGCCGGGGCCATGGCTGCACAGGAGCTTCGCTGGCTCACCTACCTGCTGACTGACCTCGGAGAGCCGCCTCGTTCTCCTCCAGTGCTCTACGTAGACAACAAGGCCATGCTGGCCTTGTGTCGAGAGCAGAGACTGGAGCACAGAACGAAGCACATTGCTCTTCGCTACTTCCTTGCTCGTGAGCTACAGTAGCGTGGTCAGCTGCGACTTGCGTACGTGGCCTCTGAGGCCAACACTGCTGATATCTTCACCAAGGCACTTGCGCCTTGTGATCATCAGCGCTTCTGTACTCAGCTGGGTCTTGTGCCTACCTTGCCTCACTTGCTCACCTCTTGACCTTGTTTGTACTGTTGCATATATATATACTCCTGCTCTTGCTTGTTTAGCCTTATATATATATGTAATCCTGCATGTTAACTGGCCTTGTGGCCTTGAACTTGTGCTCGGAATGTGTGGTGACTTTGTGATCCACCCTGAGCTTGCTTTGCTTTGCTTGACTGGTCTTGTGACCCCTTGTTCTCCCCCACTTTGCCTATGGGGGTGTGTCAGAGTTATTTGACATAGCTACTGTAGGCTATAGTGGAGTAGCACATATGGGGTACAGTTTCCTAGGGTTTGCCTTTTGTACCCAACTTTCACTTAGTCATTTCATTCCTGTTTTCTTGATTCACAGCTTGCCCATTGAGGGGTGCGCTCCCTCAATGTAACTGGGGAGGGGACTGGGGAGCGGCGGAGCAGAAGCGCAGCCATGCCTGCGGCCGCGCCAATCATCGCGGTGCGGAATGCCGACGTTCTATCGAGCTCGTCGCAGGTGATAAAAGCGAAATGACGGCTCGCTCGTGGATGGATGAATCCACGTCGCCGTTTTTAGAATCCCCGCCAGTATTGCTGGCACTGGTTTCTCCTCGTTTTACCAAGTATATCTGTTGACAAAAATGAATGCCTCGTCAATCATCATTTAATCTCCCAGGAAAGGTATTCTGAAGACGAGGAAGTTATTAAGAGGTACGCGCTTTACAAAGCAACCGCCCACAGAATCATCAGTCAAACCGGATGTATTTTGGCCGAAACAGAGCTCCTCCAACCGCTGGCCGTCAACTTCTCGTCAGGCGGTTGAATGCCTCCGACTCTTCGCCTTCGCTTGTCCCCACAACCGCTTCCTCAACGGACTGGGCGAAAGCTGCCTTTCCTCGGCGAGGCCGGTATCTTGGTTACTAATAGCCTGGTAAGTTTCAAATTGTTTTCGCGGCCTTGAAGTTCCCGTGGAATGACCCCTCCCTGACCACCAACCAGTCGACCATCCCACAGAAACCACAGAAACCACAGAAACCACAGAAACAAGCCCAGGAACTGTACACTTCTGAGATCCATTCATGGCTCCCTGACATTGCTTTCCCGCTAGTCCAAGTCTGGTTTCATCATTTTCCAAAACCAGAGGGCCATCCGATTTCGCGAAAGGAGCACCATTCGCATTGTGGCCTGGAGTCACGTAGCGTGCTATCCAGTCGCTATGCCGGCCATTTGGGTGCGTACAGGTCATAGCTGACCAGGATCAATTAGGGTTCGCGATCAAGGTTGTTTATCCAACCAATTTCCCGCAGCGCTGGAGCAGACTGCACCTCAAATTCAATTCAAAATCTTGTTATTTTCCTAAATGCGTCTGTCTGTCTGACCTTAGGCCAACCGGTTACTTTCCGAGTGCTCCCGTCGCTACAGAAATCGCATCTTATTCTTATTAGAGGACGATGCTTCCGTGACTGCTCCGCCGGAAACTAGCTTCATAGATTGTTGATTTTCCTGTACTAGTAGCTACACGGTCGTACCACCTTCGTGACTGAATGAATATCAGGTGTCGCCTTCGACGTCATTGGACCCAAATTAGCGACAACTAGCCTTACCTTAATCATTACACATAATTTTCTTTCTTTCTTTCCTTTCGACCCTTCCTAAGCACTAGTATACCGTCTGTTCCGCTGGCGAATGTCGCAGTGATAGCGGGGCACGATTGAACAGCAGCAGTAAACGGCAGCGTGCGAGTTCTGGGAATTCTCACAACCATATTCTTGACTGTTTGTTCCGCTGGCGAATGTCGCAGGAATAGTGGGGAACGATTGCGAAGCAGCAGTAAACAGCAGTGTGCCAGCCTGGGGCACACGAGGTAGGAATCTAAAAGGCTTTGGAAGAAGGCTGTTAGTCCTGGAACAAAGCTAATGCCTTCGGTTATTTACTAGCCATAACCGGAAATTTATCACAATCTACGTGTTTTTCCTGCTTTCGATGCTATTTTTTAAGCATATCAAAATTCGTCTGTCCTGTTCCCATCGCTGTTTGATCATCTATTAATGTATAATATCGGCAGCTGTTGCCACTATTCACAAGCATAAGAAAAAAATATTGTCCTGACTTCCGTTTTGCCTGTTCATTTTTTTTGCTCGGTCCCCGCCTGCTCTCTACTTTCCCGTTTCTTACGCTTCAGAAAGCCTCGGTAATGCCGGCTGTAGCTGCGGTCTCTGCTCCGCATCCTCCTTCCCTGGACGAGCCGTCCTCGATCATCCCTGGTGCCATATCCGAAGCTTCACCAGAGCTTTCCGCGCTACAGCCTTCCTCGCTACAGCTTTCCGCGCTACAGCCTTCTGCGTTAGACACTTACCTTTGCGATTCCGCGCTGGACCCTTCGCTTCCGGCGGCAGCGCCAGGAGCAGCAGCAGGAGCAGTAGAAAAGGTAACATCTGCAGAAGCAGCAGCAGCAGCCGAAGAAGGAGCAACAGCAGGAGCGGGACTCGGAGGGGCGGCGACCTCAGAACCACCTAATCCCCCAGCCGCAGAGAGCAGCGCTGCAGGCGCGGTCGTGGCGGGGGAGGCGGCAGCCACTGGGGAAGCACTCGGCGGCGCAGAGGCAGGGGGGAGCGGAACAGAAGCGCAAGGAGCAGCGGGCCAGGGGTCGCAAGAGCAGGGGGGAGGAGGGGTTGGGGGGCAAGGGGGGCAGGGGGCCTTGACCGGAGCACAAGGGACAGCGGGAGCAGGAGGGTCAGGGGCCGCGGGAGCAGGGGAGGCAGGGGAGGCAGGGGGAGTGCCGGCGGGAGAAGCAGGGGGGGCAGGAGGAGGGGGAGCGGAAGGAGCAGGGGGCGCAGGAGCAGCGGAGCCGGAGCAGCAGCTGGCGGAGGCGTGGCAGCGCGCGTTGGATGAGGCGGAGGTGGAGATCCGCAAGCAGGCCATCGAGAACGAATTCCTCCGCTCCCAGCTGCGCGTGCTCGAATGGCAGATGAGCAACGGCGTGAGCGCTCGTGTCACAAACCCCCTCCTTCCTCCCCCGGTCCCCCCCGCCCCGCCCCCCAACCCCCTTCCCCCTCTCCCTCCCTTCGTCGTGCTCGCCTCTCGCATCCCCTCCCCCCGCCTCCCGTTACCCTCTCCCTCCACTCCCTTTTTGAAGCAACTCGAGTTGGGTTCTTGCGTCGTTTCAATCCCTGCCCTCCTTTCGTGTGCCACCTTATAGACCCAATTCTGATGCCCTTTTGAGTTTTTTTCTTTCTCGACCCATACTCTCCTCGCCTTGCTCTCTCACCACTCCCCCAGGCGCTAGCAAGTTCCGCGCCTCCTGACGTGGACGGGCTGCTCTCCCCTTCCTCCGCGCGCCTTCCCCCTTCCGCCAGTACAGGCGCGGGGCTCAGTCCAGGTTTATCTGGGGCAGGTGCAACTGTTGCAGGCGTATCAGGGGCGGGCACTTCTAGCGGCCCTCTAGGCGGCTATAGCGGCGTTTTAGGCGGAAGTCCGCAGATAGTGGGGTTAGGCGGAGCAGCAGCCGTGGGTACTGGTGGTGCTGCTCCTGCTGTAGTGGGTATAGGTGGGGCTGAAGGGGCAGTAGGGGTAGGGAGAGGCGGAGGGATTATGGCTGCTGTAGCAGCAGCTGTAGCACCAGGAATGACTGCTGGTAACGGTGGTGGGATGGGGGGGCTGCTAGGATCCGATCAGGTGGTTACTGGGGAAGGTGGTATTGGGAATTTTGGCGGGATGGTAGGGGACGGAGCAGGGGGAGGAGGAGGCGGAGGAATGGGAGGAGGAGGTGGAGGCGGAGGAGGAGGGGGAGGCGGAGAGGACTTAGAGGCAGCTCTGTTGGAGCGACTGCTGCAGAAGTTGTCTGTGAACGGTTCGCTGGCTGCTGCTGTGGCGCAGGCAGCAGGGGGAGGCGGAGCTGGCGGAGGCGCAGGTGGAGGAGGGGGGGTTGACGCAGGGGGAGGCGGAGGGGGAGAAGGAGGGGGACTGGGGGCAGGAGGGGAGGGTGGTGGAGCAAATGGGTTGATGAACGGAGGGGTGGGGGGCGGGCTGACGGGGCATGTCCTGGATGGGGAGCGTGACAGCCTGGCGTTGACTCCGTTTGACCGGCAGTCGCTGACTGTGCACCCCTCCAACTCCACGTCATCACGCCAGCTGGCTTCTCTGCAGGTGACATAGGAAAGAAGAGAGTGGATATATAGAAGGGAGCGGTAGAGAGAGCCTACTCATTCTTAATTCTTGTCTTTGGCATTCCTCCCCTCCCCGCCTGCCCCAATCCTGTCCCCACCCCCCTCTTCTCCCCTCCTTCCCGAATTCTCTGTTTTCCACTCTCTTATCTAGTTCAGTCCACAAAAAGCCAACCCTTTCTTCTTATAAAGGGTTGGCTTCTCCAAAAACTCCAAACCACTACCTCCGTTTTTCTTTTCTGGAACTCCAAACCTAGTGAAGCGGCTTTCCTACTTTTGGGCAACTGTATCTCAGAGTAAATCTCCAATACATTTCTTTCTCTTCTCTTCCCTCCGCTCCGCTCTCACCAGCCCTTCACAAACGACTTGACTCGGCCGACGGGTGGGGCGGCAGCGTCCGGCCCTAGTGGGTCGGCGGGCGGCGGAGACAGGTCCGTGAACGTGGGCGAGCTGATGCAGCGCGTGGCCTCGTTGGAGGAGCAGGTTCGCAGCAAAGACAAGCTGCTGGCTGCTGCTCAGGCGCGGGTGAGTTGAGTGCTTGTCTTGCAAAGAATCAAAGATGGATACTTGCAGTGCCAGACAGAAGGGTCTGTGTGTGACTGTGACTGGGAGTGTGAACGTGGGAGAGCTGACGCAGCAAGTGGCATCGTTGGAGGAGCAGGTTCGCAGCAAGGACAAGCTGCTGGCTGCTGCCCAGGCGCGGGTGAGTTGCCTGCTTGTTTTCTGATGTGTGTGCGTGATCTGTATGTCTCTGTGACTGTCACTGTGATTGTGAGTGTGAATGTGGGCGAGCTGATGCAGCGGGTGGCATCATTGGAGGAGCAGGTTCGCAGCAAGGACAAGCTGCTGGCTGCTTCCCAGGCGCGGGTGAGTTGACTCAAGAGGGCATGCAGGCATGTTAACATGCCAATGTCAGCACCATAGGTGGGGTGGGGTGGGATGGGATGGGTTGTGGTGCGGTGGACAGCTCCATGCAGGGGTGTTTGTGTGTGACTGTGGGCGTGAGCAGAGATGCATGCTGAGAACCACTTTTCGAGACGTTACTACAACGATCAACGCACCTCACCCCTCCCTCCTCCCACCTGCTTCGTAATCTTCCCCCACCCCGCCCCAACCCCTTCCTGCTACATCATTTCTGTGTCGTATTGCTCGTGCTTTTTTTAGGTGCCTCAATGAATGCTGATGCTACATCAGTCATTCCTGTATCACATTGCTGATGCGAGGAAACTTTTGAGTCGACTCAAAACAAAAGTCTTTTCAATTATTGTCGATGCTACATCATTCCTGTATCACATTGCTGATGCGAGCAGGAGGCACAGTTGCAGGCGGAGAAGCGGTCGCTGGAGCGCCGGATGTCAGAGCTGCGGCTGGTGAGAACCCTCACCGCACCGCACCCCACCTCACCTCACCTCACCTCACCTCACCGCACGGCACCGCACCTCACCGCACTTAACCACAATTTTCTCATTCCCTCTTCCATCCATTGCTTCTAGCCTGGAGCCCTATCAAACTTCATCCCCTTCTCGCCCCACTCATGCTCAAATCCCCCCTATGCCCTTTTGCTGTGGTGCTCATATCATATGCTTCAATATCTAGGCGCCTCAAGGATGTTCTAATTGCTTGTTTTGTGTGCTATTCACATCCCATCACATTCACATCACGTTCATTCACATCACATCACATCACATCACATCACATCACATCACATCACATCACGTTCACATCACATCACGTTCACATCACATCACATCACATCACATCACGTCACGTCACGTCACGTCACGTCACGTCACGTCACGTCACGTCACATCACATCACATCACATCACATCTCATCACATACCACATCACAGGCATTCGACGGGCAGCAGCAGAACTTGATGGGGTCGGCCCAGAAGGCCATGGGGTACCGCCGGGACGTGCTGGAGGAGAACGTGCGCCTCACGCGCGCGCTTGAGGTGCGTGCTGTGGGGATTGTGTGTGCTGTGGGCATTGGGTGTGCTGTGGGCATTGGGTGTGCTGTGGGCATTGGGTGTGCTGTGGGCATTGGGTGTGCTGTGGGCATTGGGTGTGCTGTGTGTTCTGTACTGGCGTGGCAATGGCATGGCCAATTAGGAGTGTGCTGTGGTGGGTAGGTAGAGTCTCATCGGCCATGGGGTACCGCCGGGACGTGCTGGAGGAGAATGTGTGTGTTGGGTCCGCCGGGCCTCACTCGCGTGCTGGAGGTGCGTGTTGGGTCCTCTTCTTTCCCCTCGCTCCTCTCTCCCGTACCCTCCACCACTCCAGCGAGCAGAGCGTGACCTCATGCTGTTCCTCACCACGCTCACTCCATGCTCCCCCATGCCCCGAGCTCATCAGCTCATCCAGACGGCCACCCTTCCCTATCCCCTCTCTCCCTCTCTCCTCTCCCTCCCAGCGAGCGGAGCATGACCGCATGCTATTCATAACCACGCTCACGCCACTGGCAGGGGAGTTTGGCCTCTCCGCCACCGCCTCTGCCGACTCGCACCACATGCTGCTCTCTGTCAAGGTGGGCTTTAAGTGAAGTTGGGAGGGGTCATTCAAGAGAGGGCCTGTCGAAGTGGGTTCTTGAGGTTGGCCTCTCCGCCACCGCTGCTGCTGACTTGCACCATATGATGCTCTCCGTCAAGGTGGGCTGTGATCCAAGGTGGGCATCAAGGCAAGGTGGGGTCGTAGTAACGCGCAAGTAAAGTTCAGAGGGGACTTCCAAAAGGTGGGGCCTGTCGAGGTGGGTTAGTAAGTTTGGCCTTTTCTGCCACACTGCTCCGTAAGTTTGACCGTGAGCTTTCACGGTCTCTGCTGACTCGCAACACATGTTGCTCTCCGTCAAGGTGGGCCTTCCTTAAGGAAAGGTGGGTGGCTCTCGTGGCATAGTGTCAAGGTGGGTCCTGTCAGAAAGCCGTACTTTGTCAGCTTCTCTCTGAGTTTGTGCTGTAAACGCGTTCTGGGAAGTCTCAGAATGGCTGTTACCCCGCGGAAAAGGGACGCATGCCTCCTCGCTGCCCCTCAAGCTCAATCAAAACTTACTCTCTCACTCGCTCACTCTCTCACTCACTCATCACCCACTCTGCCTTTCTCCCCTTTCTCCCTCCCTCCTTCCCCTGCACGTGTCTGCTGCACTCCCTTGGTATTCTCGGTGGTTCCTCTCTTCTGTTCCATTCCAGTCTGTGCTGCAGCAGCTGCTCACCCGAACCACTCGCAGCAACGAGGTACGCATCTTTCTGTCCCCCCCTCTCCACACATGGCCTGAGCTCTGCTCTGTTCAATCTGGTTCGGTGCTGTTCCGTCCAGTTCAGTTCGGTTGAACTTCAGTCCAACCCTCATCTACGGGTTCCTGGGTAAGGTCGGATCAATATCCCCCGCCCAATAGATTTCCACCGTATCATCCTCATTTCAATCCCACTCCCCTCAGCCATCCACGCTTCGCTCTTTTCTCCTCCTTTCATCCCCTCTTTCGCACATTATTCCCCTTTCCTCAACCCCCCCCCCCCCCCCCCCCCCCTCCTCTTGGTTTTGGACATGACCAATCCCAACCCCTTTCCTTTGCTCCCGCCTGTTGCTCTTTCTAATTCGCCTGCTCCATGTCAGCCCCGCTCCATGTCAGCCCCGCTCCATGTCAGCCCCGCTCCCCACTCTCTAAGGCACCAGGGTGGCAACACGTGGGAACCCACCCTCTTGGACCTCTGCTCCCATGCTAGGGTGCTTTTGAGAATTCTCAAAAACACCCTGCGGAACCCCACCCTCTCTCTCAGCTCTGCTCCCACGTGTTGCCCCTGTTTCGCTGCATTCACCATATCACCACCAACCCTTCCACGCCCCTCCCCCACCTTGCAGCAGGGCGGGCCGTCACCCCCGCTCCCCACGCTCTACGGCACCACAGACCCCACGTTCTCTGCTCTGCCGTCATGTGTTGCCCCTGTTTCTGCCCATTCACCGTTTTCAACCCCAACCCTTCCACGCCCCTCCCTCCCCTTGCAGCAGGGCGGGCAGTCAGCCCCTCTCCCCACGCTCGTCGGCACCACACAGATCCCACGCTCTCTGCTCTGTGTTGCCCTTGTTGTTTTCATTCACTCTTCTTCACCGTCTCCCTTCCAACCTTTCCCCCCCGCTTGCAGCAGGGCGGGCAGTCAGCCCCTCTCCCCACGCTCTATGGCACCACAGACCCCACGCTCTCTGCTCTGCTGCTCGCCAGTGGCGCCAACCCCAACAGCCCCTCCCTCGCACCAAACCCCCTCTCTTCCGCTGCTGCGCTCTCTGCTGCTGCCTCGCCTCTCCGAGCCTTGGCTGGGCTGGTGCCCCCTGCTGCTGCACCTGCTGGTGGTGATCCTCTGCTGCTGCGGTGAGTGTGCCATTGTAACGAGGTGACTTTTGAGTCGACTCAAAAGTCCTCTCCGAGCCTTGGCTGGGCTGGTGCCTCCTGCTGCATCTGCAACTGCTGCTGCTGATCCTCTGCTGCTGCGGTGAGTGCCCTCGAATCTCTCATGCTCATGCTGTGCGTAACAAGTCCTTTGCTGTGGATCTCTCTGCTGCCGCCTCGCCTCTCTGTGCCTGGGCTGGGCTGGAGTGTCCCCTGCTGCTGCACCTGCTGCTGCTGCACCTGCATCTGCTACTGCTGATCCTCCGTTGCGCTTTTCCGTCTTCTCTCACAATGAAGCCGCCTTCTTATCTCTGCAGCTGCGCCTCCGTTGCTGCTGTTGCGGCTTCTCTGACAATGAAGCCGCCTTCTTATCTCTGCAGCATGCATTGTCTAGCTTCCTCTCCTATACCCCCCCCCCCCCCCCCCCACCCCGTCTCTCTTCTCTCCGCGCTTTTCTCTCCTCTCTTCACTCTCCTCACCTTTCCCTGCCCTCCGCCCCATGCCCCCCCATGCCCACCTCTGCCCAGTCTTGCACTTGCGCAAGCAGGTTACGACCCTGCCTACCTTTCAGCCACAACAGCAGCAGCAGGAGCCGCACATCCTTTACACTCTGCTCTGCACCCACCGGCCACAGCTCTCCCCCCCATCTTCGCCTCTCCCACAGCCTATCCGTCCTTGCAGCTTCCGCAGCAGCTTTTGCTGGGCTCTGTGCCTCAGCAGCAGCAGCAGCTGCTGCTGCAGCAGCTTTTGCAGCAACAGCAGCAGCAGCCGTTGCAGCAGCCGGTGCAGCAGCAGCAGCTGCAGCTGCTGCAGCAACTCATGCAGCAACAACAGCAGTCATTGCAGCAACCAGTGCAGCAGCAGCAGCTGCAGCTGCCTCTTCAGCAGCAATTGCTGCAGGCACCACAGCAGCAGCAGTGGCAGCAACAGCCACCAATGCAGCAACAGCAACAAGTGCCACCACAACAGCAATGGCAGCAGCAACCCCCACAGCAGCAGCAGCAGCAGCAGCAGCAGCAGCAGCAGCATTACATGGGTCAACAGCAGCAGGTGCCACAGCAACAGTACCAGCAGCAGCAGCAGTACCAGCACCAACACCAGCAGCCACCTCAGCAGCAATATCATCAGCAGCAACAGCAGCCGCAGCAACAGTATCAGCAGCAGCCACAGCAGCAGCAGGCGGGTGGGTACGGTGGCTCCATGGAGCCTGAAATGTCACTCAAGGGCGGGTTCATCCCTGCTGCTGCTGCTTCCTCTGCTGCTCCCGCCCCTCCTGCTGCTCCCTCTGCTTCTGATTCTCCCATCCCTCCCGGCGCTTCCACCAATCCTGGTGCTTCTGGCGTCTTTGCTGCTGACTCGACTATGGGAGCTTCAATGGGAAGTGGAGCAGGAGTGGGGGTAATGCAGCAGCAGCAAGGGGGGATGGAGGGGGTGGGGAGTGTGGGCATGGGGCAAGGGCAGGCGATGGGGTATGTGGGGGGAGAGGGGGCTGTGGGAAGCATAGGGGGACCTGGGGCGAGCATGGGCGGAGCGGGTGACCCTGCCGCTAGCTGGGGCGGTGGATTGGCTCCGATCCGTGAGGATGACGGTGAGTGAGAGTGGAGATAAGGGTATGCGGGTGACGGTGAGTGAGTGTTGGAGGCATGGGGATGAGAGGGTGAGTGAGCGTTAAGACAATGTCCCTGTCTGCCTATTTCTCTGTATCCACTCCACCCTTATGACTCTGCCCCACTCCCCGGTACCCCTCTTCCTTCTTTCCTTCAACAACATTACTCATTCCAACCTTTTTATTTCGTGCAATCTGTACCAATGCTTTCCAACGATTGCCATCGGTATGGTTGCAGGGCAAGGCTTGGCAAATCAGCAACTGCAGCAGCAGCAAGATTATCAGCAGCAACCGCAGCAGCAGCAGCAGCAGGAATACCAGCAGCAGCAGGAGTATCAGCAACAGCAGGATTTCGCAGGGCAGGGTATGAACGAGGCTGCTGCTGGTGGTGCGGACCCCACTGGCAGCACCATTGATTCTCAGTTTATCCCCAGCATGGATTCCTCACAGCAGCACCACAGCTTTCATATGGAAGGGCAGCAGCAGCAGGTGGTGCAGCAGTATGCACAGGAGGACTATCAGCAGCAGCAGGATTTTCAGCAGCAGCAACAGCAGCAGCAGGAATATCAGCAGCAGGAGTACCAGCAGCAGGGCTATCAGCAGCAGCAGCAGCAGCAGCAGCAGGAATACCAGGGGCAGGAGTATCAACAGCAGGAATATCAGCAGCAGGAATACCAGCAGCAGGAGGTGGGAGGGGAAGGTGCAGGGCAGCAGGAGGCAGCAGGGGAAGGGCAGGCGGGGGAGGGGGAGGAGGGGCAGGGGGAGGAGGAGGGGGAGGAGCTGCTGCCGGGGATAGAAGGGCTGAGGGTGATAGGGGACGCGGCCATGGGGAACAAGCTCACTGCCTGCGGCCACTCAGTCAACGGCACCAAATTATGCGTCTTCCAGGTAGGTTGTGAGTTGGCTCAAAGATACAGGGGACTTGTGTGATAGGAGATGCGGCCAGAGGGGGATAGAGGGGCTGAGGGTGATAGGGGACGCGGCGATGGGGAACAAGCTCACTGCGTGCGGTCACTCAGTCAACGGCACCAAGCTTTGCGTCTTCCAGGTAAGTTCCTCATGTCGAACCACTTCCCCTGCCTGGTGGTGTTCATGTGGCTGCGTGAGTCCTAGGTTCTGACCACGGGGCGACCTTTGAGGCCCTCAGTCTCAGAAGTCGCCTGTCTCAGAAGTCGCCTGCCTCAGAAGTCGCCTGCCTCAGAAGTCGCCTGCCTCAGAAGTCGCCTGCCTCAGAAGTCACCTGCCTCAGAAGTCGCCTGCCTGAGGCCTGACCATGAGGCAGGGGATTTCTGAGGCAGGGGATTTCTGAGGCAAGGGATTTCTGAGGCAGGGGATTTCTGAGGCAGGGGATTTCTGAGGCAAGCCTGATACCTCATGCCTCTCGGGAATTCCACGCGGGGCAACTTGTGAGGACCATGATGAGGCATGACATGACTGCCCAGCTAGCTGTGTTTGAAAGCGTCGTTAACAATCGCAGAAGCCACGGTTTGTAAAGCACCTTTCTGTGGCGCTTCCTGTGTGGCCTGCTCTGCTCTTCTGTTTTTTGTTTTTTTTTTTTTTTTGTGCTGCTGCCTTTTCTCCCTGCCTTTTCTGTCCGGTGCTCTGGCCTTATCTCTCTGCTCTGCCCTACCCTGTCTCTTACGTCTGGCTGCTCTTGGCAGTGGGTGCGGCAATACCAAGATGGCACGGCCGAGTTCATCGAAGGTAAGCCTCGCACCACCCAACCCTCGCTCTCTCCGCTCCCGTACATGAACTGTCCTTGCCATAACCAACCACATGCTTGGAACGTTCCAATTTTGAGGCGCCTCAAGAATATACTTTGAGGCGCCTCAAAAATAGCCTTGCACCACCCAACCCTCGCTCTCTCCCCTCCCGTACATGAACGGTCCTTGCCATAACCAACCACATGCTTGGAACGTTCCACAACTGCTGCAGCAATGAAGAGGGAGGTAACACCAAGATGGCTCTGCTGACAACTGACGACTGCAATGCCATCATCACTACCCTCCTTCCCTCTCATGCACTTTCCCACATCTTCCCCCTCCCCCTCCCCCTCCCCCTCCCCCTCCCCCTCCCCCTCCCCCTCCCCCTCCCCCTCCCCCTCCCCCTCCCCCTCCCCCTCCCCCTCCCCCTCCTTCTCCCCCTCCCCTTTCCCCCACCACAACTGACAACCGCAATGCCATCGTCACTCCCAGCTTTACCTCTCATCCACTCACCCATGTCTTCCTCTTCCCCCTCCTCGTCTCGTCCCTCTCCCCCTCTTCCTCCCAAGGAGCATCATCACCCGAGTATGCCGTGTCAGCAGACGACTGCAACGCCATCATCGCTGCCCTCACTCATACACTTACCCATTTCGTCCCTTTCCCCGTCCCCCTCCCCTCCCCTTCCGCAGGAGCATCATCACCAGAGTATGCCGTGTCAGCGGACGACTGCAACGATTTTTTAGAATTCTCAAAAATCAGACGACTGCAACGCCATCATCGCTGCCCTCTTTCCGCCATCATCACCACTTACCCATTTCTTCGCCTTCCCCCACCCCTCCCTTGACAGGAGCATCATCGCCCGAGTATGCCGTGTCAGCGGACGACTGCAACGCCATCATCGCCGTGGAGTGTGTGCCACTGGACGAGGCAGGCAGACGGGTGAGTTCATGCGCTTGGAGTGTGGGGGAAGAGAGAGGGGGGGGGGGGGTCGGTGGTGCTAGTGGTGCCTGCACGAATGCATGCGGTGACTGCAATGCCATCATCGCTGTGGAGTGTGTGCCGCTTGACGAGGCAGGCAGACGGGTGAGTTCATGCGCTTGGAGTGTGGGGGAAGAGAGGGGGGGGGGGGGGGGGATCGGTGGTGCTAGTGGTGCCTGCACGAATGCATGCGGTGACTGCAATGCCATCATCGCCGTGGAGTGTGTGCTGCTGGACGAGGCAGGCCAGTGGGTGAGTGGTTTTGGGAGAGTGAGGGTGAGTGGGTTTGGGAGAGTGAGGGTGAGTGGGTTTGGGAGAGTGAGGGTGAGTGAGTGCATGCGTGTGTTCATGTGTGACCGGTGATGTCAGCTGACGACTGCAACGCCATCATCGCAGTGGAGTGTGTGCCGCTGGACGAGGCAGGCCGGTGGGTGAGTGCGATGAAGGGAGTGGGGAGGGGGAGGGGAGCTATGTTGGAATTGACGCGTCAAGCGTCTTTGACGCTAGCGTCAAAACGCTAGCGTCTGGACGCTTGACGCACAATCCTGATTCTTTTTACGCAGTTTTGACGCTCTGGCGGGCAGCCGAAAAAAACTATCGGGCAGCAATAGAAAAGTATAACGGGGGAGGGAGGGGAGTGATAAGGCGAAAGTTAAGGGGTAATAGGAGTGGAACGGCGATCTAACTTCGTAGGTACAGGATAGTCGATCCAACCCTAATTTCTGTCGAGTAGCTTGCAAAGCAGAGAGTGACGACCTGGATTGGCGTGACTGATTTTTGTCAACTTCAGTTGGTTGGATTTTCTAGTTGCATTGCGGTACAATGTGGTGTGGGGGATGGTTTTGTGTTTCTGTTTTGTGAGGGGTGTTCAAAGTCGACTTGACATTCGAAGTCACGATTTCGAAGCGAAGTCGCGATTTCGAAGCGAAGTCGCGAATGATGTTTTTTCCACACGATTTCGGGCTGCCCGATAATTTTCTGACCAGCGTCAAGCGTCAAAACGCGCGTCAAGCGTTTTGCGTCAAAACGCTAGCGTCAAAACGCTAGCGTCAAAACGCTTGACGCAACCCCTCCAGAGCGTCAATTCCAACATAGGAGGGGAGAGGGGAGGGGGTGGTGTCACATAACGATGTCATGTCATGTCATGTCATGTCATGTCATGTCATTCCATGGCATGCATGTCTCTGTTTGTTTCCATGGCATATGTCTGTTTGTTTTCTCATCCCCTATTATGTGTCTCGCCCCTCTCATGCCTTTCGTGCCACTCGCCCCTGTTGTGCATCTAGGGGGAGTTGTCTCGAGTGGTGGTCAATGAAGGCAACTTGATCCAACTCGGTAAGAGCACAACCTCATAAGAACACTACTTGATAAGAGCACAACGTGATAAGAACACAACCTGATAAGAGGACACACTGTGGATACAACTAGCATGCTGTGCCACTTCCATCCCGTGCCTCTCCCATGCTGTGCCTCTCTCATGCGCCTCTCACCCTCCTCATGCGCCTCTCACCCTCCTCATGCGCCTCTCACCCTCCTCATGCGCCCCTCACCCTCCTCATGCGCCCCGCACCCTCCTCAAGAATCTCGTGACGCCACTGCCAGCACCAGGTGGCAGAAGGGTGCATCTGCTGCCTCATGCTGTGCTGTCTCGTCTCATGCTGTGCTGTCTCGTCTCATGCTGTGCTGTCTCGTCTCATGCTGTGCTGTCTCGTCTCATGCTGTGTTGTCTCGTCTTATGCTGTGCTGTCTCGTCTCATGCTGTGCTGTCTCCTCTCATGCTGTGCTGTCTCGTCTCATGCTGTGCTGTCTCGTCTCATGCTGTGCTATCTCGTCTCATGCTGTGCTGTCTCACCTCTCTCATCCCCCTCTCACCCCCATGGCATGCCTTGCCTTGCCTTGCCTCTCTCATCTCCCCCTCACCCCCATGGCATCACACCGCACAGAGCCCACGGTGCAGGACACACAAGCAGGATGGCTAGCAGAAGGATCCACCTGGTGGCTCATGCTGTGATGCCGCGTCTCTTGCTCATGCCTTGCCTCTCTCATCCCCCCCTCACCCCCTTCACCTCTCACCCCCATGGCATCACACTGCTCAGAGCCCACGGTGCAGGACACACTGGCAGGATGGCTGGCAGAGGGGTCCGCCTGGTGGCCTGTGCTGTGATACCTCGCCTCTCTCATCTCTCCCTCAACCCCATCACCCCATCACCTCATCACCCCATCACCCCTTCAACCCCATGGCACCACACAGAGCCCACGGTGCAGGACACACTGGCAGGATGGCTATCAGAGGGCTCCACCCAGTTTGAAGCCACCCTCGTGGTATGCTGTGATGCCGCGTGTCTTCACTGCACCGCACTTCACCACATTGCACCACCACGAGTTTCCCCGCACTGGTTTCCTCCGCGTCGTTCCGGGTCACGCCACATGGCACATGACACCACTGCTATCCCACAGCTGCACCACACTGCACCACACTACACCACACTGCAGTGCATCCCACCGGTCTGTCTGATCAGTTGTCCACACGATGATGGCAATGCTGAGATTCGCCATGGCATGCTTTTGAGATGTCTCAAAAACACCCTCTCTACACTTCGCCATGGCATGCGTACTGGCGGTGTGAGGAGCAGCAAAGATTCTTACATCCCTACTCTCATCCCTCGTTTCTCCTACATCTCTCTCCCCTCTCTCTTATTCCCTCTCTCATCCCCTCTCTCATCTCTCATCACCTCTCTCTCTTACCCTCCCCTTTCTCCCCTTGCAGGAGATCAGTGAGGGGGAGGAGCCGCAGGAGCAGCAGCAGACACCGCAGGCGGTGACTCTGCAAGTGAGGAGGCCAGACTTTGTGCTGCGCAAGGCCAAGAAGGCCTTTATCAAGGAGCCCTGGGGCAACCTCACTGCGGTGAGCAAATGTTGCACTGTAGTAGCACTGGGGTGGCGTTTATAGCCTGCTTCTGTGTAGATGGGGTAGCAGTGACTCTGCAAGTGAGGCGAACGGACTTTGTGCTGCGCAAGGCCAAGAAGGCGTTTATTAAGGAGCCCTGGGGCAATTTCACTGCGGTGAGTGTCTAACGCATGCATCAGTAATGCTGTGTGATTGAGGCAGTGACGCTGCAAATGGGGAGAATCTAAGGCCACCAAGGCGTTCATCAAGGAGCCCTGGGGGGATCTCACAGCGGTGAGTGTCTTAGTCGTGCAGCAGTAACTCTGTGGGATTGAGGCAGTGATGCTGCAAGTGGGGAGAATCTAAGGCCACCAAGGCGTTCATCAAGGAGCCCTGTGGGGATCTCACCGCTGCGAGCAAGGGCACTGGGGTGTGGTTAGCCTGCTTCGGTATGTGAGGGACGGTGACACTGGGAGTGAGGAGGCCCCACTTGTTTTCCCCCAAACCCAGCCCCGTCCTTCCTCCCCAAACCCACCTCTCCTGCATGTGGGGATCAGTGTGTGTGACGTCTCTCGCATGTCTCTCTGCATCGCATGTCTCTCTTTTGAGTCGACTCAAAACTAGGCTCTTCTTCATCCTCTCTGTCTCCTCTCATCAACATCCACACTGACCGTCCCCTGCTCCTCCTCCCCCACCCCACTCCCCCTTCTTAATCCCTCTCGCAGGTGGAGATCAGTGTCATGCATCGCATGTCTCTCTTCTTCATCCTCTCCGATGGCCGGCAACTCTTCCTTGATTTCAGGGATGCCAGGTCAGCCCTTCCTTGATTTCAGGGATGCCAGGTCAGCTCTTCCTTGATTTCAGGGATGCCAGGTCTTCTTGTTTGTACTTTGAAGATTACTACGAGGCTGGAAGATTTTACCAGTTTAACCTTGTGTGTACACGTTCTCTTTCATGCCCCGTGCCTCTGATGTTGGCCCATTGTGCCGTCCTCTCTTCCCCACTTCACCTCTCTCCCCTTCCCATCTTCCCTCTCCCCCTGTTCCCCACTATCCTCCTACCCTGTTATCAACTTCCCTTTGAGCCTCTCAGAACGAGGGACTTAGCAGCGCTGTGCATTCGGCAGTTCAAGGCCAACGTGCATGAGAAGGTGAGAGGGGAGTGTGGAGGTCAGGGGAGAGGAGCATGAGGGGGTGGTTGAATGAGAGGACTTGGCAGCGCTGTGCATTCGGCAGTTCAAGGCCAACGTGCATGAGAAGGTGAGAGGGGAGTGTGGAGGTAAGGGGAGAGGAGCATGAGGGGGTGGTTGAATGAGAGGACTTGGCAGCGCTGTGCATTCGGCAGTTCAAGGCCAACGTGCATGAGAAGGTGAGAGGGGGTGTGAAGGAGAGAGGAGAGTGTTGAAGTAAGGGGAGAGTGTGGAGTTTTGGGTGGTGAGAGGAGCATGCGGGGGTGGTTGAATGAAAGGACTTGGCAGCGCTGTGCATTCGGCAGTTCAAGGCAAATGTGCATGAGAAGTGGAAGTGTGGGGGCGGGGGCGGGGAGTGTGGGGTGAGAGAGGGGTGTGGAAGTGAGATGTGGAGGTGAGGGTGGGGTGGGATGCGGAAAGAAGAGTGTGAATGTGAAGGGTGTCGAGAGGAGCATCAGGAATTGGCTGAATCAGAGGATGGGACTGTTAGAAAAGGGGGAGAACCAAGGGGGAAACAAAGCTTTAATGTAGTCTTATTGCCCTCCTGATCAGCTCGTTCGGAGTTCATAGCTACACGTACGTGATGGTATCATAATCTTCCATCCCTTGATTTATTTCCCCCCGTTTCCTTTTTCTTCCTTCTTTCTCAGGGCTCCTCTCGGAAGGGCCTTGGTTGGCTCGGGATCAAAAAGCCATGAGCCCTTTGATAGCTGCAGCTGTTTGCATTTCCAAACAAGCTGCTTTTCTGCAATATGCAATGTGATTAATTTTCTTTCCAGACTCTCAGCATAATTTATTGCAGTCTGTATAGTAGTCCTAAGGATGCATGAGCATCTGTGTTGCATTGTGGCATGTTGTAGGGGAGACCTTAACAGCTCAAGAAGCTGGTTGACCGGCATATTGCTTTGGTTCAGGCACTAACCCCTGCATGTTTTTGGTAAAGCTCCCCCCATACTCTGATTATTATGGAAACCTGGTTGTAAGTTGGTGTTTTTGCAAACAGATCGGAGCGTTATGTGAGCATCCATGTATTTGGCACGCCGATTAGGTTATTCGCGGATCCAGTGATTTCGGCATAACACACTCATTTGGTTGTCTGACGTGTCCACACCAAGACCCACAGAATTCTATCAGTTCATAAGGACTTCCAAAGCGCACGTAATAGGCGCGAGATTTCAAAATTTCCGAATCGCCAAGCCAGCCAGCTATATTTCCCGCGCAATCGCAACAAGGGAGACTCCAACCAATCAGCAGTCCATGAGGAGAGTTCAGTCTCTTTTGAAAAACTACCCAACCATTCATTAGCACATAAAAACCGTTTAAACAAAACATAGAATCTTTGTTGACCGTAGTAAGAAGAAGCTTTGCCAGCACCCCTCTGACAGAATTGTTGATTCCCTATCTTGCTTGCACGCAGACAACACAAGCAACCATTTCCGTTGTTGCTCTCCTTCACTTCGGAGCGTGCTCTACTAGGTAACGACTTACGAGTGGCAGACACGCAGTCGTTTCTACTTCTTATGCGAATGCGGCTTAATTGCCCTGTTTCTTCATTGTAGTTCGCCCAGCTCGAAGCTCTTTCTGTTGATTTCGACTAGCTTCTTCAAACAGTAAAGCTGAGCATCCCAACTCGTCACGTCATCTTGGTGACGACTCCTTGCCATCTCGCTAGAACGTAGTCATAACGTCTTTGGAATCCCTATATTGAGGGAAGTAACTTTTCACCATGACTGGCCTTGAGAATTCTCAAAAGGGGAAGAAGGCTCGCCGAAGCCCTGGCCCGCTGAAAGACGGACCGTTAAAAGACGGGCCGTCAAAATCCTCTGCCTTTTCCAGCCCTCAGCAGTCTGTTCCCTTCGCGTCTAATAACTCCGCAACCACCGCCGGAATTCCCGCCGTGACCCACGCTCATACTCCCTCTCCTCGTCCCGGTCCCCTCGCTGTTCCAACCCTCTCTTCGTTCAAAGAGAACGAGCAACCTACGAATCACTTCTCCTCTATCTCCTCTCCTCACTCCCTCTCCCCCTTCGCTACATCCTCTCCTGCCGTCTCTGCCGTCCCTGTGGCTGCTACAACCCCGACGCCTTCTCTGCCGGCCCGCCGAGCCGCCTCGCCGGCCGGCAGACGCTCCCTCGGGAAGAGCACCTCATCCAGCATCTCCAGCGGCGTTTCCGCCGCTCTTGCCGGCGCCATCGCCGGGTCCGCAGCGAGCGCTGGCACCGGTGGGAGTGCGGCGAGCCCGGGGAGCCTCTTCACGAACAGTGGGGCCGGCACCGGCGGCGGCGGTGGCGGCGTAGGCAGCGGGACGTGCAGTCCGGGTCAGTTTAACTATTTTGTCGTGGACAGCCCGTCCGCGCAGCAACCATCGTCGCAGTCGCACGACCCGTCACACGCACAGCCGCCGCGTCGCCACAGCGGTCGCGTGGAGCGGCCGTCGCCGTCGCAGATGACTCTGGCGAAGGCGAAGCGCAGCCTAAGTCTTAACTCCTCGCGAGTCGAGGGCGCTCTTAACTCCGTCGCGCTTAATCCGCTCTTCGAAGTACTCGCCGGCGCGCCGCGGTCCCCCGAGTCGGCTGGGCGCCGCGACGTCGCGCCCGGCTCCGGCGGAAAGGTGGCCGCTTACGGCAAGCATGCGGCGGATCTGACGGCGTGGACTGCGGACGTGGCGGCGGCTGCTGCAGCTGCGGTGACGGCGGCGCGGGCGGCGCCGGCTCCAGCGGCGGCGGCTGTGGCTGCGTATGCTGCGGCGAAGGCGGACGCTGAAGGGGAAGCGGGTGACGAGAGGGAAGAGAAGGCTGGGGATTCAGAAGTGGGGAAAGTTCGGGGGAAGGAAGGCGCGGAGAAGGGAGGGGCAGGGAGCATGGCGCAAGCGACTGCACAGCCGGGCAGTGGGGAAAACGAGTCGGCGAAGGAAGGAGAGGTCGTTTTTGAGAATTCTCAAAAACCGGCAAAGGGGGAAGCGGAGGAAGAAGGGAGCACGGACAAAGATACAGAGAATGAGAATGAGAATCAGGCTGGGGGGGGAACACGGCTCGAAGGGGCAGGCGCTGACGTGGCGAAGGTTGCTGACGCTGACGCAGGTGATGCGGTGAGGCACCGTTCGCGCCGCCACCACCATGACCGCGACCCGCAGCAGCAGCACCAGCAGCACCAGCAGCGTCGCCACCATGGTCGCCACGAAGCACGCAGCGTCGACAACGGCGGACGCAGTGGCAGCAGCACCCGCGGAAGCAGCTGGTCCCGCGCGGGCGGAGTCCTCCGCGCGCTTTGCGCGGTTGTGCTCTCCGCCGCCCTCTTCCTTTCCGCCCACCGCCCCCTCTCCGCCCTCTCTCCCACGTTGTCCTTCCTCGAACCTGCCGAGCAGGTCTGGAAGACGTACTTCTCTGCCGTGCCTGGAGCTTGGTTCGGCAATGGTGAAGGGGAAGCAGGCTCCAGGCTCGGAATCACGCTTGGGAACGGCTGGAAGGCAGTTGCGGGCCGAACCTCGGTGCTCTGGGAAGCGAGCGAGCCTCAGCCAATGGGGGCGTTCCAAGGGATGAGCTGGGCGGCATCGGTTGGTGGGAAGCTAGGCGGGGAAAAGGAGGAGGCAGACTTGAATACAAATGGCATTTCAGCTAGCCATGGTCATCCTCAGATCCGCGATGGTGTTTCGCAGATCCGCGATTCAGACTTGGCTTCCGCAGAGGAGGAGGAGAAGGAGGAGGGAGGCTTCGACTCTCCAGATTCCACGGGAACGAGCTCAGATTTGGTTGTGCAGCAGCAGCAGGAGGAGGAGGAGGAGACGGTGGTGGTTGCGGTTACCACGGGAGAAGAGGCAGGAATGGTTACGGAGAAGCAAGCTGTGCTGGTTACGCAGCAAGCATGGGATGAGAGGGCTGAGGCGCATGAGGGTGCTGCAGCTGCTGTGGTTGTTTCGACTGGTGTGGATGGGAAGGAAGGCGGCGAGGAGGCTGCTGGTGGAAGTGGTGCAGTGACGGCTTGCGTAGCTGCTGACGTGGAAGATGCTGACGTGGAAGACGCTGACGTGGAAGATGCTGACGCTTCTCCTGAGGGACGTGTGGCTGATATCGCAGAGCCAGCAGCGGGTGACTGTTCTTCTGCTTCAGCAGCCGTCTGCCCTGCCGACGCCGCTGCCACTGCCACAGCCACAGGTGCTGCCACTGCTGTGCAAGATGCTGTAGCGCCTGCGGAACCCAGCGCTACAGCTGACCTTGCAGCAGGTACAGCTGCCGCTGCAACAGCTGATGATGTGGGGGAGGGAAGGGTGCTTCCAGGGGCAGAGGAGACGGTGATGGAGGTGGAGCAGGCGGAGCAGAAGCTTGAAGCTGAGGCTACAGCCACCGCTGATACAGTCGTCGCTGCTACGGCCGCCACTGCTACGGCCGCCACTGCTACGGCCGCCACTGCTACGGCCGCCACTGCTACGGCCGCCACTGCTACGGCCGCCACTGCTACGGCCGCCACTGCTACGGCCGCCACTGCTACGGCCGCCACTGCTACGGCCGCCACTGCTACGGCCGCCACTGCTACGGCCGCCACTGCTACGGCCGCCACTGCTACGGCCGCCACTGCTACGGCCGCCACTGCTACGGCCGCCACTGCTACGGCCGCCACTGCTACGGCTGGTGGGACGGAGGGTACGTCCCTGCCGGAAGCGGAGGAGATGGCATGGGCGCTAGAGGAGGCGGAGCAGCAAAGCTTGGCAGATCAGCAGGAGCAGATGCTGGTTGCGGCTGCTGTGGTGGTGGCTGTCGCTGCTGCTGCCGCTGTAACAGCCACTGCTCTCCTCCGTTCCTCCAGGGCTTCAGCAGCAGCAGCAGCAGCAGCAGCAGCTTCTCACCCAGTGGATGCTCACCCTGCTGCCTCTCACGGCCTCTCTGCTCGTGCTGGGTCCCAGGCTGTGTCTCTTGGTGGGTCACGCGGTGGGTCACAGCTGCAAGGGGCGGCGCCCTCTGCTTCGGCAGGCGAGCGCAGGCAGAGCTTCAGTGGCCAGTCCTGGGGTGCTGCCGCTCCTGCTAGTGGCGCTGGTGGTGCTGCTGCTAGTGCCGGTGGTGCTGTTAGTGGTGGTGCTGCTGCTGCTGCAAGTGGTGGTGGGAACGTCGGCTTTATGCATCCCCAACAGCAGCAACAGTACCAGCAGCAGCAGCAGGCATGGCAGGCACCAGCGATGAGCGGAGCAGGAGGGGTGGACGCGGGCTGGACGCTCAGCGAGGGCGCTAGGCTCGGCAGGACTGCCGGACCTGGATTCAGCTCTGGTAATGCCGCGGCTGCCGCTGCTGCTGCTGCCAGACCTGCAGGCTCGGCGATATCGGGGCTGAGGCTCGGGAATCAAGGCATGGACTCGGTCTGTGAGAGCACGAGCAACTACTATGGGCCGACGGGAAGGAGACAGCAGCAGCAGCAGAGGGAGCAGGTGCTGCAGGCGCAGCAGCAGCAGTGGGATCAGATGAAAATGGGGTGGCAGGCCGGCGGAACGGGCGGAAGCGTGGGCGGAAGCATGGGCGGAGGCATGGGCGGAGGCATGGGGGGCACGGGGGGGCATAGCCCCGTGGGGATGGCGCAGATGGTGGCGGTGGGGGATGTGCTGGTGGCAGTGGGGGGCGATGGGGAGAGGGAGGGGGGCGCGCAGGGAGGCACGGGGTCGCCAGGAGGGTACGGACGGTACAACGCATTCAAGCCCATGGTGGTGCGCGAGGTGAGTCCGGTCGTGGTGCGCGAGGTGAGTCGTGCTGTGAGGCTTTGAGGGTCTTTGGCTGTGAGGCAGGGAGGCAGGGAGGCAGGGAGGCACAGGGTCGCCAGGAGGGTATGGACGGACCAACGCATTCGAGCCCGTGGTGGTGCGCGAGGTGAGCCGTGCTGTCAAGTTCTCAGTCGGACATGTTGTCTTATTGGTTCGCTTCGATGTGGCAGTCTAAAGGTGGGGCCGCCAGGAGGGTAGGTACGGGCGGACCAACGCGTTCCAGCCCGTGGTGGTGAGAGAGGTGAGTCGTGCTGTGAGGCTGTGAGGCTGTGAGGCTGTGAGGCTGTGAAGCTCTCCTAGCGCTCGTTCCTGAACATTACGCCCCTCCTCTCTTTGCTCTTCCTCACTCCCCCTCACTCCCCCTCACTCCCCCTCCCCTCCCCCTCACTTCTCTTGCACCTTATTTTTCCCCCACTCCCCCCTACCAACCCAGGGATCAGAGCAGCAGGTGGTGCTCACGCCAGTGAAGCGCTCCAGCCGCCTGCGCATGGCCGTCAGTGGCGCCACCCCCTCTGTCAGCGGCTTCTCTCAGCCCACCAGCAGCTACGCTGGGGGGGGGATCAACCACGGTGTGGTCAACCGGCCTTGAACGGTGCTGTTGCTGTTGGTGGTGCTGGTGCTGTTGCTGTTGCTGGTGCTGGTGCTGTTGCTGTTGCTGGTGCTGGTGCTGTTGCTGTTGCTGGTGCTGGTGCTGTTGCTGTTGCTGTTGCTGTTGCTGTTGCTGGTGCTGTTGCTGTTGCTGTTGCTGTTGCTGTTGCTGTTGCTGTTGCTGGTGCTGTTGCTGTTGCTGGTGCTGTTGCTGTTGCTGTTGCTGGTGCTGGTGCTGTTGCTGTTGCTGTTGCTGTTGCTGTTGCTGTTGCTGTTGCTGGTGCTGTTGCTGTTGCTGGTGCTGTTGCTGTTGCTGTTGCTGTTGCTGTTGCTGTTGCTGTTGCTGGTGGTGGTGCTCACGCCAGTGAAGCGCTCCAGCCGCCTGCGCATGGCCGTCAGTGGCGCCACCCCCTCTGTCAGCGGCTTCTCTCAGCCCACCAGCAGCTACGCTGGGGGGGGGATCAACCACGGTGTGGTCAACCGGCCTTGAACGGTGCTGTTGCTGTTGGTGGTGCTGGTGCTGTTGCTGTTGCTGGTGCTGGTGCTGTTGCTGTTGCTGGTGCTGGTGCTGTTGCTGTTGCTGGTGCTGGTGCTGTTGCTGTTGCTGTTGCTGTTGCTGTTGCTGGTGCTGGTGCTGTTGCTGTTGCTGTTGCTGTTGCTGTTGCTGTTGCTGTTGCTGGTGCTGTTGCTGTTGCTGGTGCTGTTGCTGTTGCTGTTGCTGGTGCTGGTGCTGGTGCTGTTGCTGTTGCTGTTGCTGTTGCTGTTGCTGTTGCTGGTGCTGTTGCTGTTGCTGGTGCTGTTGCTGTTGCTGTTGCTGTTGCTGTTGCTGTTGCTGTTGCTGTTGCTGTTGCTGGTGCTGTTGCTGGTGCTGTTGCTGTTGCTGTTGCTGTTGCTGTTGCTGTTGCTGTTGCTGGTGCTGGTGCTGTTGCTGTTGCTGTTGCTGTTGCTGGTGCTGTTGCTGTTGCTGGTGCTGTTGCTGTTGCTGTTGCTGTTGCTGGTGCTGTTGCTGTTGCTGGTGCTGTTGCTGTTGCTGGTGCTGTTGCTGTTGCTGGTGCTGTTGCTGTTGCTGGTGCTGGTGCTGTTGCTGTTGCTGGTGCTGTTGCTGTTGCTGTTGCTGTTGCTGTTGCTGTTGCTGGTGCTGTTGCTGTTGCTGGTGCTGTTGCTGTTGCTGTTGCTGGTGCTGGTGCTGTTGCTGTTGCTGTTGCTGTTGCTGTTGCTGTTGCTGTTGCTGTTGCTGTTGCTGTTGCTGGTGCTGTTGCTGTTGCTGGTGCTGTTGCTGTTGCTGTTGCTGTTGCTGTTGCTGTTGCTGTTGCTGTTGCTGTTGCTGTTGCTGTTGCTGTTGCTGGTGCTGTTGCTGGTGCTGTTGCTGTTGCTGTTGCTGTTGCTGTTGCTGGTGCTGTTGCTGTTGCTGTTGCTGGTGCTGTTGCTGTTGCTGTTGCTGGTGCTGTTGCTGTTGCTGGTGCTGTTGCTGTTGCTGGTGCTGGTGCTGGTTCTGTCAGCCCACCAGCAGCTACGCTGGGGGGGGGATCAACCACGGTGTGGTCAACCGGCCTTGAACGGTGCCGTTGCTGGGGTGAGTGGTTACATTACGCCGCCCGTGCTCACCTCTTACCGTGCCATAGTATATCGCATGGCCTTCTGCGGCATAGCGGCGGTGTTGCTCCCTCTGCCAGGGCCCGCCCAGCCCACAGTGGAGGTTGCCCTGATGTTACTATTTCTGTAGGTGCTTAGTAAAGCACATGCTAAATGCGCATTTCTACGGTAGTAAGTAGAGGAAGATTTGTCTTCGTGCAGTCTAGGTTCTGTTGCAAGGACCTCGCTTGCTTTTGAGACATCTCAAAAGCATTTTGCTGTGATTCACTTACCATAGCTCAGCTGTATAGCTCTAGATGTTGCCACAGATTACTGTAGTGTAGATGTAGTGTAACAAACTTGGTAATGTACTGCAACATAAGAGTGCACAGATCTCACCTACAGCCTCAAATAAAACAACACGAAGGTGTGTCTATGAGGTCCGGACTGAGCAGGATTCAGAAACATAGCAGGCATGACTGAATGAGCTGGTCGGTCATACAGCAAAGGCATAGCAATAAAATAGCATCAAGGCTCATCCTAACCAGGCCAGGAACTTCTGGGAACGAGGTTGGGCGCAGACTGGGAAGTGAAATGCTTGAGGATCACACAAGGAGTAGACTCGGTTGTCGTGGAACACGCCGAGCCTGTACTGAGGATGTCAGTAGCTATACTCGATACAGTTCAAACCTGGCATGGGATTGAACTTCTTTGCATGGTAGGTTGACTTGACCATTCTCGGTTGCAAATGCTCACTCTTGACTACTAAAGCACTGCCATTTAGATTGAATGGAGATACACAACACTGCTGGTATTCGTTCTAACGGCCATCCAAATTTCTATACCCGAACAACCCCCAGAACCAACCCAACAAGGTCGGCTCATTCAGGCTCGGAGGTCGTATGTACCCATCTTCAGGGTCGGACGTTAGGTTCGGAAAAGTCCGAACCACAGTCCGAGCCGAGTTGAGCACTCTATAGTCAACTATAACCTGCATGTATGGGTCGAAAGCAGGCTCGGAAACTCCCAGCATCTCCACATATACATCGAACCATGGAGTGCCTTGGTGCCAGAGGTGCTGAAAGTCCTCTAAACGGTACAGTTTGTAAAGGGTACGAAGAGGGTCGAAGAACCCTGGGGTTCTCTCGTTGGTGGCGATGTAGAGAGTGCGTCCAGGTGCAACGAACTGGGGAAGCTTTTTCAAGAGCCTGGAGTAAAGGAAGGGGGGGGGGGGGGGGGGACAGTGAGCAGGAATAGGGGGAGAGAGGGGGGGTGCGGAGGAAGAAGTGAGTGCAAAGCAGCAGAGTGCGTCCAGGTGCAACGAACTGGGGAAGCTTTTTCAAGATCCTGGAGGACGGGCGAGAGATCGCAGAAAAGGAACAATGGGGAAGAGGGGAAAGGAGGGAAATGGGTGGGGAGAAGTGAGTGTCAAGGAGGAGAGTGCGTCCAGGTGCAATGACCTCGGGAAGTTTCTTCAAGGGCCAGGAGTAGAGAGGCAGTAGGGTTGCAGAGAGCAGGAAAAGACGGGAACTGGGGAAAAGGGAGAGGTGGGGGAGTAGAGAAAGGTGAGGGCAGAGAGAGCAGTGAGAGCAGTAGGGGCAGTAGCAGTGAGAGCAGTAGGGGCAGTAGCAGTGAGAGCAGTAGGGGCAGTAGCAGTGAGAGCAGTAGGGGCAGTAGCAGTGAGAGCAGTAGGGGCAGTAGCAGTGAGAGCAGTAGGGGCAGTGGCAGTGAGAGCATTGAGGGCAATGGGAGCACTGGGAGCACTGGGTGCATTAGCGGCGTAGAGCACTCACGCAGGGGGTCGTGTGTCGCGGTCGAGGTGAGGCCACATGTTGGGGTTGAGCTTGTCCCCTCGCCGCACATGCACTGCGTCATACTCCCCCCCACCCATCGCCCCACCCATCTCTGCTGCCAGTGCCAGCAGCTCTGGCCGGTGCTGTATGGCGCTGTGGTTGCTGGGAATGGGGTGGTCCTTCTGTTGGGGTGAAACGGTGAAAATAAGGGGAAGGGAGGGAGAACGAGGGGAACAAAGGGGGAGGAAGAGCGAGTGGGAAGGCCTGCGCCGGCAGCTCTGGTCGGTGCTGGATGGTGCTGTGGTTGCTGGGAATGGGGTAGTCTTTCTGTTGGGGTAAAAAGAGAAAAGGATGACAAGGGGTGGAAAGGGGAGGAAAGGGAGGAAGAAGGGGGAAAAGGGGTTGGGGGAATTCTGCAGCGGAGTGGGTAGTGCTGCTATTGCCGCCAGCCACAGCCTGCTTCAGGCGTTCCTGATGCTGCAGGGTGTTTTTGAGAATTCTCAAGAACTCTCAAAAACACCCTGCAGCAGTGGGCACTGGGTAGTGCTGCTATTGCCGCCAGCCACCAGCCTGCTTCAGGCGTTCCTCTTGAGAATTCTCACAAGGGATTCCAATGTCGGCGCTCGTTCACAGCTTTCACCACAGCTTTTAGCACAGCAGCCAGCACACCACACCACAGCAGCTACCAACCCAGCCATTCCACAAGAAACAGAGACCAGGAAACTTGCCACCTCCCAAGTCGTCACCACACACACACACACACACACACACACACACACACACACACACACACACACACACACACACACATGCACCTCGTGGCGCGGCTTCGAGTGGAAAGGGCTGAACTCGCATGCAGCAAAGCCGTAGTTCACTGCCCGCACGATCAGCGCCGTGTCATCGTCGCCCACTAGCCGCCTTGTCCTCACTCGCCCCGTCACCACCCGCACAGGAAACCGCAACGAACCTTCCTCCGCTGCTTTCCCGCCTGCCGCTCCCCCCTCTGCTTCCACGCGTGCCCCACCTTCCGCTTCTCCTTCCGCTCCGCTGTCTGCTCCTTCCGCCTCCCGCCCATCTCCTCCCCCGATCCGCCTCCCCAGCTCCGCATGCCATTTCTCCGCCTCCTCTAGAAAGCCCTGCAGGGGGGTAAAGCGGACGGCGCTGGGGGGGAAACGGGGAATCGGGGGTGGGGGAGGGGGCGGAGAGAGAGACGGAGGAGGGGGATGGAAAACGGGGGAGGGGGTGGGGTAGGGAGAAGGAGAACCGGATGCGGCGTGAAGGTTATGGGCGAAAACGTAGGAGGGCATGAGGGAGGAGTGTGAGTGTGAGTGAGAGTGGGGGATGGGGGAACCGTTAGGGCGTTACAAGATACGAGATAGTTCGGAAGGTTCATGAGAGGTTGGTTTATTCTTGCTATAAGGTCGCGCGTAGAAGCAGAGGTGATTGTAACACTCACGAATATTACCTGAGAGATGCAAGGTCATAGTAGACATGGATGGGGTTAACTTTGAAATTTCCCTCGTTGTGCAGTCCATTAATGCACAACCCCATATCGAGTACGAGCGTGCGATTCAGAACCGCCGCTTCTGCGATTCTGCACGACAAGCTGCGATGGAAATGCCGAATTCCCGCGCAGAAATCCCGGTGGCCGGTGACGAAAAGGTACCGGCCGTTCGGATCGAAATAATTCTGACGCTAACCGGCAGCCATCGCGTCTCCCACCACTTCGAACGGCCGCTTCCCGGCAGCAACACCCTACCCCGCGGCTCCAACAGCTTCTGAATCTCCGGCGAATCTAACGGCGAAAGAATCCGCCCGCCAATCGGGAGGGTCAGCGCCTCGAGCGACTGCTTCACTCGATCCTTCTTCGACATACGCGAGGAGCAGGGCACACCGAGTTCCCGACATCGCCTCTGCCGCTTCTTCTTCCCCTTCCTCCGTTTTTTCCCGTTCTCCTTCGTCTCTTCGGATTCTCTCGACTCTGCCACGCTTCTCTCGTCGCCTCTCTCCTCGCTACTCTCGTCGCTGCTCTCTAAAGTGCCCTCGTTATTTCCGCGCATCTTCGCGTCCGCAAACCCTTCTTCCGCCGTCTCGTCGCTCCGCGCGCCCCCCCGACCCGTCACCTCCCTTCCCCCCTCCTCTCTCGTCGTCCCCCGTCGCCGTCCCTCCCTCGTTCTCCGCCCCGCTTCTCTCCCTTCCCTTTCCGCAGATCCGCCATCTTCCCCATTCTCGCTTCCCGCCATCTCCCCCTTTCCCTCTTGTGATAACTCCCCCACTCGTTCCGCTTCCTCCGAATCCCTGCGGCTGTCGAAATTTTCCCCATTCCGCAGCAATTCCCCCTCCACTTCCGCCCATCCGCTCTCTTTCCGCGCCCACTCTATCCGTTCAGTTGTCTCTCCTCCTTTACCATCCGCCCCGCTAATGCCAGCTACACCATGCTTTCCCTTCTCAAGTACATAGATTTCATCCTTGTTAGAAGCCCAGCTTCGACCGACCATAATCAAATCCACCGCGTCGATCCTCGAATCGCCCGTCACGTGGCCGCGCAGGACCGGCCAGCGCGCGAGAAGCACGGTACCGAGAGCGAGAAGCAGGATAATCGGCAGCAAGGGAAACCGTGAGGACCGCGGCAGCGACACGACGGCCTGCTTGTGCCCGACACGTGCTGCCGGCGGAGGCATCATTGAAGCCCGCTACAAGCCTAAATTCGTTGGACACGTGGCGTCAGAAAAAAACAAAAAAATATGAGAGAGGGGATTCTTCCCGCTTATTGACGGGGCCGCCAGTATTACTTCGAATTTGCAAAGTAGATTCAACGATTGTTCCTTACTGAAATGCTAGATCCACAAAATTACTACTACACCCTCGAAAGAACGCAATCGTCGATTCCGCGGGGACTGATTCCGTTTAGGAGAAGTAACTGCTGAGTCGTCTTCCGCTGGGGCGTGCGCGCAGGCTGCTAGCTACCGGCAACATTGTCTGATCTAGACTGCACGTACCTAGTGCTTGACGGATAAGTACGCCTACTAGTAGTACTGCTCCTGTTGCTGCTGGAAACCGTCTGATTTGATGGATAGGGGATGACTTCCTCTGGGTGCCAGCACTAAAAATCGCCTACGGAAAGGTGGTAGCTGCTGAACCGTCTTTGGAGACGTCTCGAAAGCACTCTCATCCGTCTCAGGGATCGCTTGCTGCTGTGCTTAGCCAGTTGAAAGGCTTGCAAGAATGTGGCAGCGTATGATTGGCTAACCCTACCTATTCCTACTTGACTGCTGCGGCCGGCGATTTAGAACTGCTATCCTTAGACAACTCTCGGAGACTTGGTAACGCGTCACAGAATCCAGGCTTATGTCATGCCAGTTACGAAACGGCATCTGGCGGCGTAGGCCAGTGACGAGAATACAGGGGGGTTGGGAGAGGTGAAGGTGTTTTCCCCCAGTCCCTCATTTGCCGCAGACGCAGAGGCTCCTTGTACAATCCTTCATTTCCCCTCCCACCCACCACCACCTCTGACTGCCACCATTGACCTGACCACTACAGTGCCACTCGCATCGCATCGCAATGTGGCGGGATGCGGTCCGGCATGCAGCAGCAGCAGCCGGAGCGGCTCGCCCCACTGATTCAACTTATCATTCGTTCGGACTTTTCGTTCGTTGTGAATTCGCTTCGAGAAGGTCAATCACGTTGGACATTCGCCCAACCACACTGGCATGAGTACGGACGTGCAGTCGCGGTCCCAAAACTGCCAATCGAGGATTTCGCCAGCGCGGTGTCAGATCACGGTTCTGAAGTCTGGACACCATCTGAAGTGTGGACACTTTGGTATCAATGAACACGCCTGATTGGCTGCCATGCTCCAAGATTTCTCGCAACTTGTGCGGTGACCAATGATCGAGTGTGTTTACACGTCACTGAGGGAAAAAATTGGTTGATGGTGTCCAAGCTTCGCCCAGAACCGTGACCTCAGTCTCTGTTAGGAGTTACAAAAGCTATGACTAATATGCTATTGCACCTCTGACTTCAGACATTCTTATGATATGACTTTAATTTATGTGTGAGATTATATATGGGGGATGACAAGGCTTTTTTAGTGATGAGATCAAAAGGAAAAAAAATCACAAAATCACTCATTTTATTGATTGTTTTTGCAGGCTATACACATCAGATGATTCAATTTTTCTTTCACGATTCATCTGTGTTACGATGTGGAATTGCTGGTGAACATATGTGAAGTAACCAAATATTAGCTCGGCGCGAAAATGACTGCAATGAGGGCGAAGACTGAGCGCCAGACAATCATCAAAGACGGTTGAAAGCAGGAAATTTTTGAAATGCAAGAGCGATGAAGGGAAATGTATTCACTGTTACTGTACCGCGTGCATTTACCAAACTTGACGGTTGTTTTCCTTGATCTGAATCAGCCTTGATGGGAATGTACCCCCTTGGAGTACATGGCTAGCTTGGACCTTTCGCGTTCATTGTATTCCTGTATAAACCCTTGTATCGCGCTGTTATAATCACTTCTGTCGAGATCTGTTGCGATCAAAAGATGACCGTTGCCACGATCACCTCAGGAAGGTTCGCACACTTTAGACTGGTGGGCCCGTGACCTCAATAGCAGAGTGAATGTAAAATGCTTGAGATAATAAAAACATGCAAATACAACGATATAAATATAAGTACAAGGGGATCTGAACCATCCTAGCTAGCCACGTACTCTAAGGGGTACATTCCCTAATTCGAATTCAACTGTCCGGCGCGTGCAGTTGCGAAACTGTTCCCGCCAAGATCATCCTGCATGCAGCTGTCCGATGTCGTCTGCTCCGACGGTCCGGATGCATCAACCGTCGGTTCGAGTCAACTCTGACTTTTCGCATTCGTTCTCGATACTGCATGCTTCTTAAGCTGCGGTCGGGAGTGCATTGTGATCTTCATTTGTTGCTATTTGTAACACCCCCCTTCACTCCTGGCCGTAGCTCGACTTGACATGCTTGACCACGCCGCTGAGTTCGGAGTAGTGTTGGTACTGCTGGCGTGACAGTCGCTTTGTGAGGAAATCTGCTGCCATGTCACCGGTCGGGCAATAGGTCAGGTCAACCTTGCCCTTGTCTACTTCGTCCTTCACGAAGAAGTACCGCAGCGCAATGTGCTTGGTGCAGTTGACGAAACCAGGTTTGTTCGCAATGCGAATTGCGCTCTGGTTGTCGCAGTGGAGGCGAAAGGTAGGCGAGGCTGGAATTTTCGCTTCCTGCAAAAGTTCCTGTAGGTAGAGGCCTTCGCGAACTGCTGCGGTTGCTGCGATTAATTCCGCTTCGGCTGATGACAAGGCAACCAGCTCCTGCTTCTGTGAGTTCCAGGAGATTGGTCCCGTCGGTTCGAGTCGGAACAGGAAGCCAGTCATGGACCGTCGATTGTCGGGATCTGCTGCGTGATCTGCGTCCACGTAGCCGATTAGGTTGAAGGATGCGGTTGGTGCGGTCGAGTAGCACAACCCAATCTTGGGCGTTGAAACGAAGAACCTTAGGGCGTGCTGCAGGTCCAGAAGATTTTCAGCCGTTGGCTTGCGTGAGTAATGGGCCAGCTGACTTGCGATGTAGGAAAGGTCAGGCCTGCATGTGACAGAGGCAAAGAGCAGGCATCCCAACTGCTGTTGGTAAGTCTGAACTCCAGCAGGGGACAGGGCTTTGTTGTCAGGTTTGTGGTTCGGTCCCGGAGTTTGATAGGGAGTTGAGAGCGGTGCAGGCGAGATGTTGAACCGTTTCCCCAACTCCTCTGCGTACTTGGCCGCTGAGAGGTGAATGGCCTCAGGTGTGTAGGAGATGTTGAGGCCTAGGAACTGCTTCACCTCGTGGTTGCACGTAATGTCGACGCGCTTCGCCAGGGTGTTCTCGAACTACTCGAGTAACTCGTTACTTGAGCCCGTGTAAAGCAGGTCGTCGACGTAGACCGTGAGGAGAATGTATTCGCTGCGGAAATCGCGGCGGTACATTCCTGGGTCGTGCGGCATTTGCTTGAACTCGATTTCAAGCAGGTTGTTGTGCAGATACTGCTGCCAAAGCCTTGGTGCCTGCTTTATCCGGTACAGGGACTTGCGCAGCTGGCATACGCGCGAGTCCCCTTCGCCGTATGTGTGCGGCTGTTCCACGTAAATCACGGCGTCCACTAATGCATACAGGAACACATTCTTGACGTCGATCTGGCGGAGAGGTAGATGCCTTGCCGCTACGATGGTGAGCAGGATTCGGACGGAGGTGTGGCGGCTGACTGGGGCGAACGTCTGGTCGAAGTCGATGCCATGCCTCTGGTCGTATCCCCGTACCACCCAGCGCGCCTTGAAGCGTTCGATCGTTCCGTCCGCTGCGGTCTTCACCCGAAAGACCCATTTGCCTGAGAGGACTCTTGCGCCTTTGATTGCCGCACGATCGACTAGCACCCAGGTGTCTCGGGATTCGAGCGCCTTGATTTCTGCGTCCATCGCCTCTCGCCATTCTTTGCTGTGAGGTCCAGTGAGGGCTTGGCGTGGGTTTCGTGGCTCGATCACACGTGGCTCCTTTGAGGTTGCGGTGTGAAGCCCGAGCAGCTGCAATCCTAAGACGGTGCTGTCGTGACGACGTTGCGGAATGACTTACTGCACATCGTCGTCGTCGCTCTCTAGTTCAGGTGGTGCAGGTGGTGCTGCGCCACTGCCGCTTCCGCCTGTTCCGCCCATTCCTCTTCCAGAGGAATTGTCGTCATCGTCGTCGTCGCCGCTGCGATCTCTTCTCCATGTGAATTCGCCCCTGGTGTCTTGCTCCAGGATTGCTGCCGCAGCTTCGTCCTCGGGCGTTGCATAGCTGTGCCCGTTGTTTGCGTAAACGCGGTTCGCATCCATCTGCTCGTCGTGGCGGAACTGGTCGAGGAAGAGGCGTTCGTAGAAGATCACGTCGCGAGCGTGGGTGGTCTTCTGACTGAGCAGATCCAGCACGATCCACGCCTTGTGCTCGTGGCTGATGCCGAGGTGAATGCCCCATCGTGCGCGGCTGGCGAATTTGCCGATGGTTGACGTTGGCGGGCGGTATTGGACCATGCACCCCCACACGCGGAGCATGGAGGTGTCTCCCTTGGTCGCGATCCACTTCACATGTGGGGACAGATTGCCGGTGATGGCGGTGGATGAAAGCAGGTTGTGCACCCGCACAGCGTGGTGCATTGCGTAGGTCCAGTAAGTCGTCGGTAGCTTTGACTGCTTCATTAGCGCCCGCACCTTCGTCATTAGTGTGCGGTTCGTCCGCTCAGCTACGCCCTGCTGTTGGTGTGCGTAAGGGAGGGAGATATGGTGTTTGATCCCCTTTTGCGCGAGGTAACCCTGCAGCTGATTGCTCCTGAACTCCTTTGCGCCGTCGGATTGCCAGATTTTCAGCTTCTTCCCGGATTGCCGTTGTGCGTGCGCAAGCCGGAGGCGGAACACCTCATAAGCTCTGTCACGTGTTTCAAAGTTTGCGACCCACACATAGCGCGT